GGGTGCGTCTTATATGCCAGAGCATCTTATATGCCGAAAAATACGGTACCTTCATCTGATTCCCTATCCAAGAGGGAATTAAGGCATTTGTGAGGTACTAGAGGGATTTATATGGGAGAGGAGGTAGGGGAAATTATTTCTACCAGCCCAGTTCCATGTGCCCAAATCTGTAAGCAACCTATTACTTTAAAATATATTTATAGTTCACTTAAATTGCCTCTCTGTGGAGGCTGATTGCCTGAATAAATAAAATAGCAGCTTGATTAGGGAAGCAGCACAGGAAAAGACAATTAACTTCTTCTGCTCTCTCTGATGTGGAACACACCATCCGCTAACCGCTCTATATCTACTGTATAGAAAAATGTAAACAGAGAACATTCTGCCCAGATCTCCATCATCACAGCTAGTTAAAACCCAAGGGTTACACTGTTGCTTCGTCTCCTAAACCAGCAAGGATTAAAGATCAGAACTTCAACAATAACAACAACAAAATACAACCCCAAATATTAATTCCTAATAAAATATTTTGGTTTATTTTTAATAGTAGCAAGAGGGAAAAGGAAACCCATCAAAATGAACCTAAAAGATTTAAACATGAAGAAATTGGTTTCCTAATAATATGGTCAATAAAATTTATTTCTTATCCTTCTGTATTGGTCATAGTTATCAAACATGTTTTCCACATCGAATGAGAGATTTGTTACTTTCTGAACAATATACCTGATCCTTGCTTCATTATGTTTTTTCTGCTCTGCATCCAGAGAATTCTTGACAACTGTGTACCATTTTCCAATATCAAAAACTGGACAGCCTGTAAGAAAAGGTAGTTTGTTGTCTGCTAATTTTTACCCATCGCTTTCCCTAAGAACTGTAAAAACAGCATTTTAGCTTCATTAGAACTGTGCAAGGTAGAGTAGGCTAAAAACAAGAAATCAGCCTGCTGACTAAAGATTTACTCCCAAACCTAAACAAGATACATTGAATCGACTCCCTTTAGAAGCACTGCAGGCTGAGTATCCCTTATCTGGAATTCTGAAATCCGAAATACTCCAAAATCCAAAATTGTCCGCATGAGTGGTTCAAATAGTGACACTTTTGCTTTCTGATTGTTCAGTGTACACAAACTTTGATTCATGAACAAAATTATTAAAAATATTATGTATAAAATTACCTTCAGGCTATGTGTATACTGTGTATACAAAACAAAAATAAATATGTTTAGATTTGGGTCACATCTCCAAGATATCTCCTTATGTATATGCAAATACTCCAAAATCTGAAAAAAATAAATTCCAAAACACTTCTGCTCCCAAGCATTTTGGATAAGAAAGACTCAACCTGTTTGAGATGTGGTGCTGGAGAAGAGTGCTAAGGATACCATGGACAGCCAAAAATAGAAACAAATAGATCCTGGAATAGATAAAGCCAGACATCTCCCTGGAAACCAGGATTACTAGACTGAGACTATGTTATTTTAGTCACATCATAAGAAGGCACAACACATTGGAAAAAACAATAATGCTAGGAAAGGTGGACTGAAGTGGAAAGAGAGGAAGGTTGCATGCTAAATGGATGGACTCTATTAAAGAGGTCACAGGTATGAATTTACAGGAACTAAGCAGAGCAATGGAGGACAGGGAGTCTTGGAGATGTCTCATCTACGGGTCACCATGGGTTGAGATCGACTCAAGAGTGGTTAACAACAACAGAGAAATCCATGAGTCCCAATTCATAATGGATGTTCTCTGAAAAAAGGATCTAGGTAGATCTGCTCTACACTGTATGTGTGTGTGTTGTATGCCTTCAAGTACCCAGAAGGCGAAACTATCATGGGTTTTTCTTAGCAATATTTGTTTGGAGGAGGTTTGCCATTACTTCCCCTGAGGCTGACTTGCTCCAAGGTCACCCAGTAGGTTTCATGGCTGAGCTGGGAATCGAACCCTGGTCTCCAGAGTTGTAGTTCGACACTCAAACCACTACACCATGCTCGCTTTTGGCCTACATTATACTATGCAGCAAAATAATTTCTTCTGTTTTGTACCTTGTAACAAGATGGATTTGTTAATTCTTCCAAGTTTTGGTCAGCGATACCTCTCCCTCCCAAGAGATGCCAGAGAGTTAATTAACAAAAAGAAACTGTTTAGCATTAGCATGAACAAAGCCAGTGGCAAAGATAAGGGGAATTTGCATCACAAGAGAGACAGATTGAGATGAGGAAGTGTACAATTGTAAAACCAGTCCTTGATCTTTACTGTGATGAAGGGGTGGCTACATTACATTTGCAGGCACCTACTCAAAACTATCTTCTGTTTCTAAAAACTGAGGCTTCGGTTTGTCTGCCTTTGCTGTACCCTTTAGGTATTTTAAACCTATAAGAGATTACTATCATTCAGAAAATGCTTAGATACAAACATCATATGCTCCATCTGATGCCATGTTCTCTTTCATGCTTCTGTTTGATTTGAGATTGTCTTTTTTCTTTTCAATTCACATGATTACCACTCAGACCGTCACCACTGAATCACGTAAAGACTAGCATGCTAAAATCAGTAGGTTTAAACTAGATTTCTTAAAACATTTGGTACCTTCTTTGTTGTCTTTGTTCCACTTTTCAGCATAGTTTGATAGCAACCTGAAAAAACATATCCGTAAGCTTCAATGTTTATTGGAATCATAGTTGCTATTTATTAAACTGTTCAAATGCTCTGACTCCAACCAAAATTTTCAAAGTTCTTATCTCCAAGGTCCAAAACACACTGTAGAAATAATCTAGTCTGAGACCACTTTAACTGTCTTTGCTCAATGCTAGGGAATTCTGGGGACTGTAATTTTGTGAGACATTTAGTCTTCTCTGTCAGAGAGCTCTTATGCCACAATAAATTACCATTTCCAGGATTCCTTAGCACTGAGCCAGTCTCAAACGGGATTATTTCTGCAGTGTGTTTTGGACCTTTGTTCAAAACATCAACATTCTAGGGACTGGTTTAAAAACTGTTTACCTAGATGCTGGCTATTAAAAACCCAATTCCACGTAGATGTGTCCTCATTTCTATCTACCCACACACATACAACATTTTTATACTAGCACTTTCTGTCATCAAGGAGATGTAACACTGACATGAAAACCCACAGCCATTATACCACTGTGCAGAATGCAATAGGTATTTGTCTCTACATGGGATAAATCCCTAGAAACTGCACTATGTTTAAAAAATCAGGCCCTTTTAGGTTCTGAAAGACACTGTCCTGCTTGACTCATGAGAGGAAAATAATCCAGGGTTCCATGCACATAAATAAAAATTTAATGTTAAGAACACTTGTCTCTTATTTTTATGATCTTGATCTGCAATATGTTACTAGTTTTCTTGGTTATGCCATAACATACACTTACCACTCATACTGGTCGTTCAGCAAAAACATAATTTTGAGCACCACTATAATAGTGGCTGCAGGAAGAATGTCGTATTTCACTCTTTGCGATGATTTATTTCCAGGACAAAGCGTCAGGAAGTTTATTTCACCAATGCCTGTTTTTTTAATTACTTTACATGTCCAGTTGAGCATATCATCTGAATTAATAAAAATAGATATATTGGAAGCAACTTCAGATGTTATAAAATTCAAATACCAAAAGTACATTATGTGAAGGAATTAGTATTGCTACTCATCCATGACCATCCACAACAAACTGCCTTCTGTGTATTAATTTCATAATGTTTGAAGCAGCCATACAGTGGCTATCTTGGAAGAAAGTTCCGCCAACATACATGGAACTGAGTTGCAAGTAGACATATTTAAGACTGAGGAATTAGCATTTTAAGCAAGATGACCATAACAGAACATTTCAAAGAACAAGACAATCCACACTAGTAAAAATATTATTTCAGTAGTATACTTTCTGAAGCCAAGTCATATATCATAAGAAAACTACCGTACCCCACAAGCCCTCACCAACATGTACACTGTTCACTCGCCTTTCTAATGCCCGGTTTATTAAATGAATAGGTAGTAAAATTAAAGCAGGAATGGAATTTATGCAGCCTTTCAGATGGTGCTGAACGGCAACTTCCAACAACATCCCAACCACTGGCTATGCTGGGAATTGTAGAACAGTCCACCTGGTAATTCTTAGTAAGGAATAATGTGTTCATTCAGCTAAGGACACCAATCCATTCAAAGTACAGTGGCTGCTTGAAAGATCATCCAGTCAATCAAGTGTGGAGAATTCTTAATCATAAATGTTTTTAGTACCTCTGAGAATATGCAACAAAAAATTTTGCACAGCTAAATCACTGCATGCTCGCTACTTTCCCACACTCCATTAAGACATGAGATCTGCAAGGATCAGAGTAGAATAGATGTTCGCTCTATTTTTTAAACAGAAAAACACAGACAAGCATAGGAAGGTATGAATGTAGCCATCTATACCTTTTGTCTCAAAATCCCAACCTTTCCAAACCACTTAAAGTATGTGACTCACTGCAGAACTGAGTGAGTGAAAAGCAGATTGGGAGGAAGGAGAGACAGAGCAAAGCCAAGAAGGAAGGAAAAGTCAAGTCTAAGTGAAGCTGAAATCATTAGTCTGGAGCCAAAAGATTCATTTACCTAAACCCATGCCCTCTCCATGTCTATTCAGAAGTACATTGGAGGGACAAGGAAAACTTTCCATTTCTTTATCCAAGTGCCCAGCACAGTGGGAACAATAATAAACGAACTAAAGGAAAGGGCTCAACAGAATTTACTTCTCAGTAAATATAATATTGCTAATTGGATTTTGTTAAATGGCTCTTTTGGCTCCAATTTCAAAGCTCTCAATGTTACCCACTGAATTAGAGACAGAGTGGAAATCAGAATGGGAGGCAGAGAGAAGAGGAAAAGCCAATGAAAGGCCCAAAACATATGTGGCGTTTACATGATACACATCCACAAAGCAGCCAGAAGCCGTGCCAAGACAACACTCTGGTCCAAAGGACCGGATTAAAAAGGAGTAAATTAAAACTGACTCCTGGCCTGTGCAGCCTGGGACCTGCGGCGGTGGCCCACTTTGGGAATGGGCCGTGCGGTTGCTGCAGTCCCAGCTTGATTGTGGCTGGAGGCCGCTTTTTATCAGCCATCTGCTTCACCCCATAGTCATTCTTCTTAAAGTTCTCTCCAATCTCAGCTCTTCCATTGCTTCCCAGCAGTGTTACTTCTCAGCTCTTCTGCTAGGTTCTTTTTCTTAGCAATAGAGCTGTGTGATGCATCTCTTCCAATCCTAATCCTTTTTCTCCTTAGGCTTTCCTGACTTACTGATCTATCAAGACCAAGAGCCACCCATGTTAAGAAATTCTAATGTTCTAAAATCCATTAACTCACTAAAACATGAGATTAACTTCAATTTTAATTCCAAACCTGCTGACTGAGGCCACACTGCTAGAAAAATCCAATGAATAATAGCGAGTTGACTGACTTTTGATTTTCAGGCTCTGAGTTAATTTGAACAAGTATGATTTGACCACAAGTAACATTTTTTGCCAGGACACAATTTACTACATTTATCCCATATTTGAAATGTAACATTTAACCTTTGTGGAAAAAATATGGAGTACACATTCTGAACATCACATGTTCAGTGACCAAATTTTATTTTATCTTACTGTAATTACTTTCAGCATGATCCAACCAAAATTAAGCACTGTAAACTTCCACTGATTCCAACAGGACAAAGATTTAGTCAGAAGTTAGTGCTCTAAGTGAAATAAATGGGAGTTTATCATTCTAAATTTGGGTCTAACTATGCCTTAATGAATTTTAATATCTGTCTATTCCTTTTAAAAAATGAAACTTCTTTGGGTTTTTCTTTTACATCAATTTAACAGTAGCACACTCCTGTATATAGGAAATTTCAAAAGAGCAAAAATATCGTACTTCTCTAGTTTAGCAAGGATGTTGTGACTCAACTCCTTCACTGGCATCCAGTGGGGCTGTCAGCACCTATAGTCCAAAACTAGTGCTTCCCTGTCTGTATCTGTGAATCCTAAAGGCAGAAATGCTTGGTGAACCTTGTATTCCAACAGTCTCATCTCTACTAAATAGTGAAAAAGAAACACATCTGAAATACTAAAATGTCTTGCAGTAATCTAAAAATAGGTATCATTCCATGTGATTGTTGCCCTTACCAGGTAAGTTAACTTCCATCAAGTATTTCACACAGAGAATGTTTGGATGAAGGAAGCAGTCCTCTGATATGTCTGGAAAACAAGGCAGTTCTATGTATTTTGCAAGGTCATGCATTTTTTTATGAACATCTTCGTATACAGGCCAGGACTGAAAAAATAAAATGTAGAAATCAACATTAAGAATGCTGTCCGTTCTTGCATTTCAAAATGTAAAATTCTTGATTCAACACTATCACCATCCTATACGTAGAATACACATTTTGTTCTGTATCCTACCAAGCACCATGTTCTTTTGGTCAGGAATTTGGTCTGGGACTTTGTCACCTAACCCAAACATAAATACAACAACAGAAACATAAAACTTCAAAAGATCTATTATCAGTTCAGCTAGAACTGCTTTTGGTCTGCAAATTCACAATGATCCTGCTTTTTCTTTTTAACTATCTTTGAGAAAGATCTGCAGTATTCAGGGCACAGTCATATTTACAGTATAAAATATAGGACCAATCTTTCTTGTTTGTTAGTAAGGTGGTGTGAAAAGCAAGTTACCATTCAGCTTAATATACAACTTCCCTGCAAATTGTCAAGAACATTATGTGCCTGGCTCATGGCAACTGTGCGTTTATTTGTCAGTGTTAACAAACTCCAAGCCAGTGACTGTATATTCACTTAACACATTTGTTTTTAAAAGTTTTAAAATACTTATTTGACAATCATAATATTGTGAATGTAGCTTATAGTTTTATATGAACGGCTTCATAGAGAAAACATTGACCTATAAGTCACAACAGTAAGATGTACAGAAGATTTCATGTGTCTCACTGTGTCAGGTA